CACCACCAGCACCGTCAGAGCAGCGACCATGACAAACTTCAAAGTCACTCTCCCTCTCTCCCTCCCTCTCGCTCTCTCTTGCTCATCCCTGTCTGTGTTCTCTTTACTTTGCCTTGCAGGGTCTATTTTGGTCACTGGCCTGCATTTGGCTTATATATCCGGAGAAGCGTATGAGCATACCGCACTTGAAGAACGAGCCAATGAACTCAACCAGCGCATATCCCTTCCTCTACACAAGCTACTTGCCCACGGAATTTCTGATCAATGGCATTGTCTCCGCCTGCCTGACTATTGTGAATGTGATTTGCATATTTATCACAGCCATAATAGTTTTGAAGATTAAAGAAGTATCGGCGCCATACACAGCAAGTCCGGACTTGAAGCGGTGAGTGTAGATTTATACTGTAATTATACATAGACATATGTATAGCTTTACATTGTATGTAAATATTTACATAAGCCCTTTGTCAACTTAATACTTTATGCAGCATAAAGTAAAAATCTGGAATATATATTTAATGATGGGGCAGAAACTGCTTTTACGCTTATCATTTCCGCAATATGCGCTTGGCCAGTTTTCCCATTTGTAAGTGTAATTAATAATGACAGCGTACTCAGACACAGGCAGATATCAACCACAAGGCTCAGTCAGTCAGTTTCCCGTTCATTGGCTTGTTCTTAAGGGGTTTTGCCTTTGTGGTCGATCATATATATGTGCATATGCAAATACACAACCCCAACATTAACATTGACTCCGACTTAATCGGATCTAAGTTGATAAATCTCAGTTTGTTTATTGGTCTTTGGCTCTATCTTAGATTAAACCATTACGCACCGAGTGGGTAAACACATTTGCCACAAACGACACGTGTGTGCGTGCTCCGGCCAACTAGCTGGGGAAATTAACTCAGATTGCCTGACACCCATCAGCAGGCTGCACATTTAAATCAATAAAAGCCCAAGGCCGAACAGAGTATCGGAAAAAACGATTCATATTCGTATTTCCTAGTGAAAACAATTTGTCAGAATTGTGCCCAGCACTCACAGAGAATGATATTAGCTGTGCAGTGCTTCATGGAAAGTATGATGTATCGCATAATTAACTCACTTACTTCATGTTTTCTCCCAATGAAACATTTCTTAATGAAAATAAATGCCCGCCATTGCTGGCTGAAATGACAAATGGGAACCTAAGTTGCGTCAGCGTGTCTAGGCCGCCCCAAAAGCACTCCAGACACATGGCTGGCAGGGACTGGGAGAACCTTTAACAACTTTAAGCGAGAGCTGAACATTTTCTATCCAAGTTGTGCTATCATAGAGTGACCGCGGAAAAGTGTGCCATTTTATTTCATATTTTTGCCATCGCAAATATGTGCGAAAACATTTTTTGTCTATTCCAACGTTTATTTAAGCACGCACACGCTCCCTCCATCGACATTTGGTTGTTGTTTGTTTGGCTGGCACAAATTGTGTATGCTGAATTCAGATTCCAGCAAGGGATATATTTACTTTGAACAGAAGTTCGCCAATATTGGCGATATTGATTCACAATTGCACACAGCGTAGAGTAGGTCGAGATCAGATTGCTACATAATCTAGCTCTTACAGCAGCCATTGACCAGAGCGTGCAGACATTTGTGTAAATCTTCTAGTGCTATCCGTGCCCAATTGTTTGGTTTGTTTGTTTTTCTGCACACTGCCAGGACGAAGAGTCCAATGCAGAGGCGGGTCCTGTGCTGCGACCCTGTGCAAATAAAAGGACGCAAGGATGAAGGCCAATCTGAGTGGGAGCCATGCCAGGGCGGGTTTAGTTTTCGGTCCGCAGGCTGTTGCATATTACGCATAAAGTGCATGATTTCATATTTATTTGTTGTTATTCAGTTTGCCCGGCTTTTGCGAATTGGTTTTGTTTTCGTTTCTGCGGCTTTCCTTTGACAGCGGTTTATTTCGTTTCGTTTCGCTTCCAATTCCAAAATTATGTTTATGTCGCGCAAATTCTTATGCCAACACAAATGAGAACAGTTGCCAATAGCCAGAAGGATATTTCATATAATAAGAAAAGTTCAAACGAGCTTAACGGATGCACAAGTTGTTGTGGAAAGTCATCGAAAATATTAGCTACATCAAATATATTTTATTTAAACAATTTTGGATTTAAATTAAATTTCTTGATTTCAAACAGATTCTGGGAAACCGATCTTCGCACCGTGCGCAAGACAAATCGCTCGACGATGCGACATCCGGCCTCTCGTACTCGTGGCAGTCTGTCAGGCACTGTCAGGGGCATGGACAAGCTATTTGGGTGAGTGGTAGACATAGATAAGAGAAAATGCCAGCCGTCTTTTGAGTAAATTTTTAAGTGTCGCTTACAATTGCCTTCTGTATTTGTAAATGGGTGAACTCATGTCCTGAGGCAAGACAATTTACGCCACACATTTGTCATGAAAAACGCAGGAAAACAATTTTAAAAGGTAAATAATGTGAGTTATTATGTCCGGGCAGGGGGAATGAACATTTTTTATCGCATAATTGAAATCATTCCAAGTATTTGAGGCGTGCCAGAGGCCTGTAGCAAATGGTCGTAAAATATTTTATTAATTAACTCAATGACAAATTTAGATTTTTGCATTTTATAAGCAGCTATTTGTACCAAAATAACTCATGTGTTCGTTCTTCCTCAGAAGCGGCCAATATCAAGGGTTGGAGGAACGCGATGTCCAAATGGATAATGCCCTGGAGCGTGCCTTGGCCCAGGCCGAGAACGATGCTACCTTTCAAAAGGTCAAGCGAATGAGTTACTCAAGCAATGCGGCTGGTGAGGTGAGTTGTAAGCAATTCCGATATGTTCCACTGAACTCATTAGAAGTGCTCAGAATAGAGTTTCTGCCTGGGTTATCCTCAGTTTATTTAGGAAATGTGAAGAGCACTCTTAATGTAAGAGTATTCTAGGCCACGTTGGGTTGCTCATAAATCAATGTAACTTGCAACCAACAACTCGGGCTTACCGAGTGGCTAAAAGTCATAAACGATTTATTGTCGAACAAGACCTGTTGGACAGGGCCACCACTTCATTTGCAGTTGGGTTGGGTTTAAATTTAAGAGAGAGTCAAGCAACGAAGAGCAGATCTAATCGAAAAAGTTTCATTTTTGATATCTGCTCCTTATCCGCGTGAAGCATTTGAATGCGCTAATGATGGAAAGTTTGCATGCCATGATTATAGGGCCAGTTGGTTGTGCTTAGAAAAACTTTCTTAATTTCCTGTTTTAAGGAGTAGGCGTGCAAGACGCTTCAATTAAAACTCGCTGCGAAGAAGCGCTCAAAAGCCAACCAAGCGTCGATTGCCACAAATCAACTTCTACATTAATTCATTTCGGAGCAAGCGGATAGAGCGGGAAAGAGGAGCGACGGATGGTACTTGAGTGGATGGCAGACTGGCATGCTCTAAATATTTCGAGAGACAGGCTGCGAAATACCTGAGCGAAATGCAAAACCAACTTGCAAAGTCTACGACAAAAACGCCCTCGAAACCCACCCCCTCTCGACAGCTTGTAATCAGTTTAAAGTGAGTCCCGGCCACTAAAACTCAATTAACCCCATTTGAATGGTGCACGAGGCAATTGAAAAAAACACTGAGAAATATAAAGCAAAAACGAAAATGAAAATGAAAACGAATAACGAATAACGAAACGAAGAGTGAGCAAATGAAGGCAAAAGATTAAAAACGGAAATTTCTGGCCATTGAGCACACCACGGGAAGAGAGGGAGAGAGTCCGTTGGTTGCGGCCTGGCATAGGAGCATCGAGGGAGAGCTAAAGGTTGGCAGCATTTTTCACTTAAAACCGCATTGATACTCAATTACCAGGTCGGCACTCTGCCTCCACCTTGGACAAAACAAACGGATGCGAAACTCAGGCAAACGGAAGCACTTTGCAACGGAAATGAAACATCAATTAAAGTCGCACACCGACCAGCTCCAAGCACCAAGCACCAAGCACCAAGCGGCAGAAGAGCAAGCGCCCTGTCAGAAGAGAGAAGAGCGGGCCATCGACAGAAGAGAAAAGAGCGGGCGCCCTGACAGACCTGCCAGCCGCCGCCAGCCTTTGCTTCCGAAAATATATTGCTTTTCTTCCATTGCAAGTGCTGGCAAAAAGGAAAGAGAAAAAGTCTCTCTCTCTCTCTCTCTCTGGTTCAATTTCGACAAGGCCTAAGGGAATAATTCGTTAGTTTTTATTGCTTAATTGTAATTTCTCATATGAATACCAGAAAGTTTAATTGGTTACGTTGAAATATCAGTGATTATTTTAGTAGTTTATGAACAAGTTGCTAAACTTTCTGTTTTCTTTTTTTGGTGTTTCTAGCTCACGGAAAGACTGGCAAAGATTGCAGGCCTCAACAGACTCAAAGCAGATGGCGACCCCGTGCAAACGAATTCGAGCAGCTTGGCTGGCAGCCGAATGAATTCCATACCCAACTCTCAACTAAACGTTGATCTGAAGGCTTTAGATAAGCTCGTGAGTAGTCTGCTGGAGCAACATTCTTCGGGCAGTAAGTCTGCGGAGACTGGCACCCGCACGCCGCCACTGCAGCGGATGGTTTCCAAAAAGCTGAATCGCTGGCGTCCTTTGTCTCGATCGGCACACAACCATTCACGTGGCAGCGAAGGTGTCGATAATATTGGGGGGAGTTTCACGCAGCTGTTGGAGCGCAACGAGCCGCAGTCGGCTTTGGCTCAGCACACACCCAACATGCCGACAATTATGGAGAGCAGCGCTGGAAGCCCAACCCCGAACAATGCGCAGCAGCAGCAGTCCACCCATCACCCATGGACCTCTTCGCTGGATGGCACACCAGGTGCAGTGCGTAATGTTCTGCACAACATCAGTCAGGCTGCCACCAGGCGAGAGGACGAAGATCAACGCAATTTGACGAACAATTATGTGGAATAAGTTGTGCGAATAATGTATAATAAATCGTATATAATGTAGGATGCAATATTCTCACCTGTCTTTCCATTACACCCGATAGCTGCTCCCTCTCAGCATATCGATAATATCCCGTTAGATTTGCACCAAGTCGCATCGTCACTTCGTAGCGAGTTTTACCGCTTCGCGCTGAGCTTGGGCTACTTCTGAGAACCGAGTAACTCTGACTGGAACTGGAAGTAGCTCCGTTGTAGTTGTCAAAGTTGCAAGCCTGATGACAATCGATGGAGCTCGCATTAATAGTGCAACCTGAAAGGAAAATGCAAAAATATTTCATTGTTTATTGTTACCAGAAAAATGTCATACAAATTGTATAAAAAGAATCCTTTGCTGACTGTAAGTAACTACCTTGTGAGTGCCACAAAAGAGAACGAAATGGGAGTCTGTAGAAGCTTTATAAAAGTCATAAAGTCAGGTGAATATAATTCGAAAAATGTTCTTGGCATGCACTTGCTTCCAGTTACTTCTGCCCATTCATTTTGTTTCATAGCTGAGATTCGATATCGATTAAATTGAAATTTTTCATTTACGGAAACTTGCTAGTTTTCAAGTTTTACTTTTTCACAAGAAAACTTTTGCAGGTTTTGTAGAATGGTAATTGAATTATGATTCATAATATCTCACATTTGCTAAATGCCCATGAAGACTCCCAAGTATTCTCTTTTAGCTCCACTTTGCAGGAGTTTCAGGAATTTAAGCTTCAACATTGTTGGTTGGTGCTCTTGTTTTCCGTGCAAGTGACATGGATTTTTACTGCTTTGCCTGCAGCAACGACATGAAAATTGGCAAGGATACCATCCAGTAACAACCTGAGGTTGTTCATGGCTCCCCTTGTTACTCTTTTAATGCTTTCAGTTGCAGTTGTTATAAATTGTTATTATGTTGTCAAGCACTTGTCGATTAAATGGTTCGAGAGGCTCTCCAAGAGGGGACACCCTCCGCTTGGATGTCTTTTCATTCAATTGTACAGTTTTGGGTACATATGTAGGTATGTACATACATAGCATTGGTACCTCAGCTGGCATTGAGTACATTCTTAATAATAATCATTTCCCTAATTACATTTTTCCACTTTAACAACTTTGCTCTTTGGCTTGATCTGCACTGGCGCCTATTATGTTTATATATGTCACATTAACCTTTATTTTTGCACTTACCCTGCGTTGTCCTTTTTATTTCGGGTATTTCACATCTGGTCCCTTTGTACCCCACTGGACAGTGGCAAGTTATGGCCGCATCGCCGATGTGCCTAAAAGTGACGATACAAAAATGTGTCTAAGTGCCAATATAACTTATGTACATATATACACAAATATATGTATGTAAATATATATATATATGTTTGTTTATCCGTATGCCTTCTTATTACGGTGCATTCAGCAAATAAAAGAACAAAGTAAATCACATCGTCTCTCTTGCTTACTGTAACTGTAAACAAAATGCTGTGCAAAAAAAGCAGCGAAACGCGAACGCTCTCTCCATCTCTCTCATTACAATTATGGTGACACCATCACCACACCTGCTCTCTTTCGATCCTTCTGTGAGTTTCTCTTCTCTCTAGCGCCACTCTCTGAAAGCCGAGAGAGCGAGCTGAAAAAGCGAATGGTTCTCTCTACAGCGGACCATTTCGGATTTCCGATCTGCTGTAGGCAATTCCGTTATGTACATAATAAGTATGTATGTTTTGCTGTTATATTATATTGATTTTATTGCTTTTTTATGCGCAACAAGCAAATTGAACTGAAATAGTTGCATATGGTGCAAAAAAAATAAATACACGAAAGTACTTGTGTGGTGTAACATATGTACATATGTACTTACTTGCAGGTTCCACCGTTTTGGCACACGTTCGTGTGGATGTCTTGGCATAACGGACCGTGGCCACAATCGCTGCCGCTGAAGCCTGGAAAACAGGCGCAACCATACGAACTGCAAATAAATGTAAAACGGTTCCGTTACTATTTGTGTTGGCCCCTCTGGGCAGAGCTGTTAAACTGCGCTGCGGAGCCGTCAGCCCAGCACACACATTTATGTACATTTATATGTACATATCTCTGATTTTGCGTTTGTGCCTGACCACAAGTGATGAGCTTTCCGGATTATGACTCATAAAAGTGGTATATTTAGGCGAATGCATATGTAGTTATTTCAAACTCATCTTCAAAACAAATCAACAAACACCAACCACAGTTATTGGGGTCAAACTACTTAGCTTTTACTTTGAAATTTGACTATATTATTTAGGACAAGACAACTCAAGACACAAATCAAGATTGCAAGAAACACTTTTGATAATTTGGCGGCTACAAAATCTTACAATAATAACAAATACTTATGTATTTATCTGCAAACTTTTCGCATTTAATATGCCAAAGTTTCCGCGGCAGGCCTCTCGCTGTTAACGAGAAAATCATTCTAATTGATCTGCTATTGGTAACTATTAGTAACATCTGTCGCATTCCATCTGTAATATGGTGAACAAATCGAACCATTAATAAAAGTGGCCAGAGGGGCAGAAAGACAACAAAAAATCCAACGGCTGGGCCACAACAGATAACAAAAAGTGGCGAGAACATTTTTCATGTCACAAAACTAACTTTTATTTTAAAATTCGAAGCATTTATTTGTTCATTCGTTTATAAACAGTTCCGCTCAACCGAAATGCATGTACATAGCTTTACATTTTGTCGGAATGAAGTCATTTAACATTTATGCAAATGGAAATGTGTTGCTTGGGTGCGGGAGAGTCTGCCATAATATTTACCTAATACACTGGTCTTGCTCCTAGATATACATGTCTGTGTTGATTGTGACGGCTTGTACAAACGAATTGGTGCTATTGTATTGCGGAAATTAATTGCCTCTGTGTTCGGACATCTGTGCAGCTTACAAGTCCGAGCAGTCCCTTGCTCTGCCCCCTGTTACGGAAATGTGTGATATTCCAACTTTATTTGTAAAGTTATCGACATGAGTTCGTGCACTGCTGCTAAACCTTCTTCGTTTCATTGAAACAGGCTTTGCATTTTTACATATCATTGAAAATCACCTGCAGCTGCTGGCTGGCTTTTTTTTTCTCGCGCTTTTCTGTATATTTTGCGACATGTGCACTTCCACACACTTTTCACACACAAATGGACGCTGATGCCCTTTTTTTTTATTAAAAATTAAACAAAGATTTTCATAGTTCTCGGAGAGAAGAAATGACGCATTTTAAATGCATTCAAATTTGAAAATCCGAACAATTAAAATCGCTTGCCAAAAGTCTGCGACTATTTTATAGGACTCCACTCGAGAACTGCTGACAGAGCATACAATATGACATGCTTGACTGCTTTTGGCTAACCCAAAAAGCAAACCCATACACATCCTTGCTACTATGTCATATCCTTCGCCAACATTTTCTACAACATTCTCGCATCGATAACGAAGAAAAAGTCGATGCGCAGCGCTCCAATGCGGAATTGGATAAGTTTGTACTTAGTTGGGCAGCGGCAACAACTAAACTTTGGGAGGTTTTTTTGACTCACAGCCAAAGTGCATGGACAGAAAAATATGGAAAGCAGCATTCATAAAGCTTTACAAGCTGTGTACATACATATATGTAAATGTGTACATACATATCGTAATATCTGTTCAAATCTGCAGAAATGAAATAAAATTACAATAAATTGTTGTGAATCGTTTTGAAAAAGTAACATCTAAATGTTGGCAATTACCTTTCACCCTTTCTAATAATGCAATAAAATGTTATTTGATGTTTATCCTATGTGTAGAGGTGACAGAAGGTGTGGGGATTGTTGGATGCAGGAAACACATTTGTCTTTTAATGCCTCCCTTTCTGTGTACAAATTATGTTTGAACCATTTGAAATGCTTTAATTAAACCTTTGTGTGTACCCTAGTATTTTTCATGTCAAGCGAGCATTAAATATTTGGCACATCTGTGTACAAATCGAGAATTACATTTAATGTATTTTTACATGTACATATGTACATAACTTGTAACTTTTCCTATCAATGTGAGCTGCGTACACACGTAATGCAGGAAAATTAAAACTTTTTATTGAGCGGAGTTTTTCAAGAGATGATCTGACCCAGAAATGAGGCCAATGCTCAAAATTTGAGGCCAAACCAAGCTTAATTGCAATATTGCTGCGCCTGTACGCCTCGACTTTGGGCATATGAAAATGTTTGGACCTGACAAACAATGCACGAGGCGCAGGCAAGCGAATCCAGAATGACACTGACACGGCTACCATGTGGCGAGCTGCACATATGTACATATTTATGTACATATGTACATATGCATCGATATACTCCAGCTCCTGCGTTGGTTTTGGTTTTGGTCACTGAGCCCTGATCTCATTTGGTGCTGACTTTTTGTTGTTGCTACGCCTTTTTGTTATTAAAGCTGAAGCTCAGACGCAGATCCAGAGCCATGGGCAACGCACATTGAGTGCTGGACATGTCCCACTCCCACTCCCACTCCCACTTCCATGCCTTCTGCTGTGGCACACAATTTGCCGCTTGAATGTGGCCTAATTCTGAGTGGATGTCATTGCCGTTGCTGCTGTGCTGGTCCTTAAAAGGTTGCCATCATTTCGATTGGGAGACAGCCTTTCCACACACTCACTCAAAATGCTGTGACAGACAATCCAGAGAGGAAAAGTCTCGCAATTATTAGTATACAACTTCTGTTAAAAATATAAACTTGTGCCCAACCGGAAAAGTATTTAAAAATATAAATTGGTTACGGCTATCTGGAGTTTTGCGGTGAGGTGCAACAGATGTTCATGCATGCAACAAATAACGTCATCAAAGTGGAATGCAACAAAAATAAATGAACAGGCAACTGGCAAGAGCAGACTTTATTCTGGCGAATTGTTTATGCTTGCTGGTTGCTTTTTTTGACAACATTTAATGGAAATTACTATTAGAAACGTTCCGAATGGATAGCAGAATATTTAGTGGTAAAATAGATCAAACAAATTATGTTTATTATTCATTTTAAATCCTTAGTTCTGAGTTCGAATATAAAGCAAAGCAAACATATTGTTGAAGGTAGGACTTTGCATCCCTGCTCGAGTGTTCCTGCTGTGTTTGCCACTTTGCGTATCTAAGGCACGTAGAGAGGGGACTGGTGAGGAGGCGGCACTTATTTGCCTCTAGTTGGTAATTAAGTTACGACCCGCTACGTGTCTGGCGCGATATTATTTGCTGTGCTGAAAGCACTCACACTTCGGACACAAAGAGAGTTCTGCCGTCACTTTGGTATTCGTTTGCGCTTGTAGCAGCTCGATTTGCTTTGATTTAGGCATTGATATTAATAATCAATTAGCTGGCCCACCAATTAATTCTAATTATGTCAAGTGAACGTGAAGCGGCAACGCTTGCTCTTGCTTTGTGCTGCACAAAGGTCCAGGCAAATGTTTTATGTAGTTTGATTTTTTGTCTTTCAACTTTACAATTGACTCAAAGTGGTTCATTTTTCTGTTTTGTGTTTATTTCCAGAAGAAGAAATTACATTAACTATGCGCTTGTCTCTCATGAATCCCGATTCAGCCTGGAAGGGAAGTACATATTCCAGAAGCTCCTCCCCGCTTGCCGCCACACGTCAAGCTCAATTGCAAAGCTTATCCATAAAACCCGTTTACCTGAATTCTGCCAGAGCAAAAGCTTCACGCTTTTGCAGTTCTTCTTTTGACTTTACTGTTGGCGTTTGCGCTTTTTGTTGGGCTGCCTTTGAATATGTTTTTTGGTTTTGAAATGGCTGCTCGGGTCTCCACGCTGGGGACTTCGGCAGGAGGCACAGCAGCTCCACTCATTGAAACATTACAAATGTATGGCTCCCACGTGGGTTAGGGTTGCCTTCAATCGAGAGCCCAAAACAACAAAACAAAAATGCAAAGCCGAAACATTTCAACAAGTTTTGCGGAAAAACGATTGATGTGCAAGCAGTTGGCAGCTGTGTAACCTCTTCAAAATATGGTCAATAATTAAAACTAATATGAAAGTAAAACCTACCCGTAGTCCGCGCTGGCATAGCAATTTCCCAGAAAGCGGCATTGGAGCGTATTGCACTGCGTTTGCTTCACCTCGTGCTGCACCTCGTAGGTGATGTTGAAGCCGTAGACATCCAGCAAGCGATCGAGTGCCCGCAAATGAGTTCCATCCAAGGTGGCCATGGTGAAGCGGATCTCCAAGTACGGACTGTGGAACTGCACCCAGGAAACCTGAGTTACTTCGTCTTCGGTTAAGGTGAAAACGCGATGCGCTGGCACCCTGAAGTCATCCGAGTAGTACATGAACTCGGTGAGCTTGAGGCCGCTCAGCACGTACAGTTGTGTGAGATACACAACTATGGATACGTTTTCCTTGCCCTGAGATACCGCCAGATCGGAGGCATCGATTATCCAGACGCACTCGATTGGCGTGGCGAAGCGAAGCGGAAAGCTGGGCGTTTGAATGATGCCGCTCCTCGCCTTGAGCAGGCCTCCGCACCCGGCGCTGCTGCCATTTCCAGTTGCAGTTCCAGCTAGTGGGTGCTGGTGCTGGTGCTGGTGGTCGCCCGCAAAGGCGTTCAGGGAAAAGTTGTGCTTGGCCGCCGAGAAAGGCGGCGGAGGCGGTGGCAGCGGTACGGCGGGCAGCGAAAACTTTTGCTCCATGTTGTAGCGGGCATTCGGTTGATTGTGTTTGTCTTCCATTTGGTGCTGAGGTGCCACTGGCAGCAGCAGCGCCAGCAATACCATCGTTGATAGCCCCACAGCCTGTTTGTTCGGCAGCGACATTTACTTGGCCTTTTGTTGTCTCTGGCATGGGGGGGGGGGACATGCGTGCAAGTTATAGTTTTTGCCTGCTGCTCATTGACGTCTGGCCCACTTTTTCAGCTGCAAGTTGCAAGAGGAGAAAAAAGAGTAAGAAACATCAAGTCAAATTTTTAGTTAAACCCATTTGGACAGCTGTCGTTTGCATTTGACTAACTGCCTGCAGAATGGGGCGGCAGACCCACATTCTGTCAGCGTGAAAAAAAAGCAATTTGAAAATCCACTAAAAGCGGCGGCTTGAAACGGCGCGGAAGCTCTAGCTCTGGAGCCGCAGCACATCAATCAAGGCTTCATGGACGGGGTCATAAAACAAAACACACACAAAACACTCCTACTCCTACTCATACTCTCACTCACTTGCACGCCTTTCAAATTGTTTTCCCATGTTTAGGTAGCGCCTAGGTAGTGTTCTAGCTCTCATCTTAGATGAAACCGTCCGAAACCAGTTCCGGGCTTACCATAACATAGTGATTAAGATATGCACTCAAGTGGCTTTGGAACTATCTTTATCGAACGCGAATCGGCTATGCACAGCTTTAATCTTATCAGCAACAAATAAATGTGCGCGCAGCCCAGAAGCCAATGCAAACATGACGATAATTAGCCTGTCCCCATCGCACATGTACACATTATGACTATAAATACATAAATGTAGATATGTGGCTACATAAATAACTCAATGACCAATCAAAATGTAAAGGCCAAATCCTTTTGCAGGCACACATTAATTACTTATTCTGAGTCATAGATTACGCAATTATAAGTATCTTCCTGTCGAAACGGAAATCTCTGGGTTGATATTCCTAAAGCATACTTTAAGGCGTAAACAACGAGAGATGGAGGAAGAGAGAGAGAGAGAGAGAGAGAGAGAGAATAAGATGAACATTTGGGAAAACGTTCATATAAATATGATTATGTCTCAATCGAGTTGTTGCGTTGAGTTTATTTTGTAGAAATATCCTCCTGCTTTTGGCTATACTTGAACGTCGCGCGCCCCTGCTTTCTGGGCTAAAAACGAACGTCTCGCGTTTAACAATGACGCCTGCCTGGCATGCCCAACACTTCTCCATAGATAAGAGAGCACTAGGCAGGCACTTCAACTGATAAACCGATAAACATAAAGCCAGTCAGCCGTTGCCGTTGCTGTTGTCGCTGCCGTTCTGTGGCTACGCTGACGCTGGCGTTGGCTTCGGCCCGGCGTTACCTCGTCGGGCAAATTGTCAATTTAAATTGTCCACATTAAATTAGTCGAGTTATCAGCTTCCACAGCGGCAGGTGTACGGATCGGAACGGGGCCGTAATAAAAGCTCTTTTTTTTGAGCAGCCTTGAGGCTTGGGAATGAAGTGATTCAGAACTCCAAAAGGCATGGATCTGACCCAGCTGTCACCTCTGAGTGTTCAACTCGCTTGTTAATTATGCAATGAAACGCTCAAGTGTTTCCCTGCAAAACTAGAACCACACCAACAAGAGTGATAATAAAAATCAAATTGTGAGAATTAAATTAAACTCTTCCAAGTTCGGAATACTTTATTTGTGGAAAAATTCGAGTGTTTTAAAAACAAACCGCATACGGCAGGTGCCATTGAATCAAATACAGTTTTGAGCTCCTGAAAATACGCTCTGTACTTGTGAGATTACCATAAAAAGCCTATCGCTGGGCAAAGTGAACATTACGTGAAAACCAAGGACCATAGTTTACCCCGAAAAGCAAAAGCTTATCGCTAGACCTTGCTCGTTCAATTAGCCGAAATTCGAAACCAAACAAAAATCGGCTATAACTTCAGTCAATGCATTGAAGAAACCATTAAAGCAAGTGAAAACCAAGAGCAAGAAAAAGTCTGAGCTGATAAGAGCCAGCGAAATGTCAATAAATTAATATAAATGAGTGACTCGTGACTTGCGACAATTGCGAATCACTTCGAATCGGCCTCTCGACGAATCAAATTATAGCAAGGAAAGTGAAGTGAAATGGTTCCTTTTTCCTCTTTGATTTGGAATACGAGAATGTAAAATTACATAAAAAGCGCATAAAAGTTTGAACTCTCATTGCCAGCGAGTCTGTAGTCCCAGCAGAACAATGCTAACCCCCGGCGTTGTTTTCGATCGTTCGAGGCATTTGATCCAGAGCTTTTCAGCAAACAATGAAAACCCCCGCATAAATAGAAAACAATTAAGCATTTTAAACGATAAGAGAAGTGCGATAAAAGGCCAGCAAGCATACTGATTCATCGCTGAACAAACCGAGAACTGTGCGGAGAGACCAGCGGCGTCGGAGGAATGAACGAAAACAGAGAGAACAGAGAAAATTGGCAGCAACTCTCTCGCTCTCCCTCTCTCGCTCTCTCTGTTAGTAGTAATTACAGCAGCGCGGGTTGACGATTGACCAGTACGTTTTCTTGCACTTTGAAACTTTTCTTCCTCAAACAAATTTATCAGATACAAAGCAAGAGCGAGTTTCCTTTGTTTTTTGGGGCATTTGATAAGCCAGTGTTTAGATGCTTTGTGCTTTATTGTGCAATAAACAAACTAATAGTTTGCTGCTCCTTCGGGCTTAACATGACATTGAGAGAGTGTAAAACACCAAATAAGTGCTTAGTGCTCTTCCCTTTACAGACGTTAAATATACAGAAATTGTAAATAAAATAGTTACGCTAATAAACATAAATATACAACAACAACAACAACAACAAACATAATAAAAAGCAGCTGACAATATGGCCTGCTTTCCGCGCTTGTTCCATCATCGAAGTAAAAATAAATTTACGCCCGCCCAAGATGAGAACACCGACACGATACTCAACACACACGATAGCCCCGTGGTGAGTTTCTGCATTACACCATGCAGATCATGCTGATAAGCTTAATTCAATTCAACGGGAAGGTGGCAAGAAAAAGTGTGAAAAAGTGTACAACAAATTACTAAATACAATTTTGTGTTGCTCTGATTGTCGGAAATACTCCTTGAGCTCAGTTGAGCAACAACTAGGGTATTGAGGCGAGACCTTGCTCTTTACTTCTCTTATCATTTGTTGTGCTACCCATGACATTCCCTTTTCGAAATGGTTATCAAAATTAAACGGAAAATTAACGGAAGCTCAATATATGCACATATCTTCTCTTCTACCACTCAAAATATATGCACGAAAATGTCTTTCTTTTTTACACGAGTCTTCCACGAGTTGTCCACACGAAGCCACCGAAACTTATCAGGCGCCCACTTCAAATAAACTGAAAGCCTAAATATGTAGCTTGTTTTTTGTGCAATCTTAGCGTTTCGTCAACAAAAATATGAGAGCAAATAAGCAGATATAGACAGCGAGCCAAAATGTTGACAAAAAACGTAGCAAATGTCACATAAATATGCAGAGTCCGTAGCACGCGTGATTATCTATGGACACATCAGCAGCCTAACTTCTAACCATCTAAGACACCTGCGCGGGCTGTCGTGTTTTTTCTTAACGATGAAGATGAAAGTGAACGTGAGTTATTTTTAGTAACTCGTGGGCTTCAACAGTCGCAGAGTGGTGCCCGCTCCAACGACTTCAATTGCAGTCGGCCCGTGGTACCGTTATCAGAAAGCAAAAATGTTTTTGAGCTTCCGTGGGAAAAGGGAAAACATGTCAAAATGTCGCCGTTTAGGTCGATTAGCATATCAAGGCCAAGCCAACTTAAGATTTCAATGGCATATCGACAAGATAACAGATTAAGGTTGCAACTTCCTGTGGCAAAACGTTGAATAAATTTCGAGTAGTTTAAAGGCGACTCAAAATTGAATTAAATTTAGTTCAAAGTAATTATGCTCAGAAAATATACAGCTTGACGCCCGAACGTCATTTAATTAAACAGAAAAAAGGCCTCATGCATTGTGAATAAAAGTAGAGTTCTAATTTTACAGCAAATTGGTTTGTACATTCGGCGCGAGGAGAAACCGCTCTACACGCCCATCGTTACACCCAGCGCTAGTGAGGTGAGTTCAGTGCACACAACTGTGGCATTTTTCGCACTAGTTCGTCTAAATGTGCTTGTTTTTGTGACGCGCAACTAATATTTGCACGCATGTAACTGTTTCTTATACTTTCAAATCGACGCAACACTTGTAAACATGTACACACACACGCACACACACACACTGATGAAAACAAACCAAATACCCACCACGGCCACGGCCACACTCCAACACTCAACTCGAAAAAAAAAACAACAACAACAACGATAAACTTGTGCACCTTTCTTGTTTGTGTTGGTCAATGTTTGGCGGGGTGGTTCTTGCTTGCTTTTGCTCTCTTCGCACCTGTACCGTTAGGCCAAACTGCAACGGTTAAGATTGCAGACCGCAAACTCCTCCTCCTCGTCTGCCTCACCCAGCAGTCAACCACCACAGACGCTGGCCGAAAATGGCAATGCAAACAACACAAACAGCATGCAGCGGCAGCCAAAGAAGTTTCGCTCCAACAAGAGCAAGCTGCAGGCAAACAAAGGGAAGGAGAAGCAAAATGGCGAGACGCAGGCAGTGGCAGAGGGAGACGGAGACGGAGACGGAGACGTAGACTCTGTCAATGGCAATCCAATTAATGTCACACGTTCAAATTCAAAATTAAAACCAGTCAAAGAGCGACGACCCACAGCCCTGCCCACAGAGGCGCCCAATATCGAATTTGTTGATGCGGAGGAGGAGGAGAATGCAGATGGCGGTGCCTATGGTGATGATACCATGGATGGCAAGTCAGAACTCAAAGCGAATGAGAACGGCATAATTGATGAGGTCCCAACACCGTTATCGGAGGGAAATGTAAAGTTTTTCATTGGTCACACACAGGAACTAAGCCCAGAACCAAAAGATAATACTTTGTCCTGGCAGAGCAGCGACACCAACAACAACAACAGCAACCTGCCCCAAGAAGTTGGAGCCGGAGAGCTGCTAGCACCTACAATCAATGGCAGTAGCAGCACTGTGTCCCTCCATTGTCCCACAAAGAGCCACGCAGACAATCATCGTCGTCGCCGAGTATCCACCATGTCTGATATTCACATACCGCCCGCACCGCCGATGCCAACGGAGCTGTTGGTGCCTGGAACGCCGCTGCACTTGCGGAAGAAGCGCAGCGTCGAGTGTCAGCAGAATCAACAAACAGATGAGAAATTGGAGCTAGCCCCTTTGGAGGCTGCAAACAATCAAGTAAGTAATAAGGTTGGTTTCCAAGACGATTTGTCCATTTATTTACCTACCAAACACCCGAAACCGCAAGGAACAAATCCCAACACCCAAGCGCAGCTGTGATGGCGCGGAATCAGTGACCACAAAGGCGCATCGCGTGGAGGGTGGCCTGATCTATATACGACCGACTCATCCCATTCAAGGCGACATTGAAATTCAATCAATTACAAAAGACAAAGCGTAAGCAAAGCAGAAAACAAACAAACCAAAAATAATCATCGACTATTACCCAATCCCAATCCCAATCCCAATGCCAATGCCAATCGCAATCCGCATCGCAGCACACATAATCTCATCCACATGGCCATTGAGCGCAATGACTTCCTGAATAACCTCATGGACAAGGAGCGCAAGGAGATGGTTATCAATGCAATGGCGCCGGCCAGCTACAAAAAGGATAGTTACATCATACACGAGCACGAGGAAGGCTCCGAAATATATGTCTCTGCAGAGGGTCACTACGAGGTTATACGCGGGGGACAGCTTGTGGGCAACTTTGGACCGGCAACTGTATTTGGGGAGCTGGCAATACTCTACAATGCGCCCAGGCAGGCCACCATCAAGGGTAAATTGTGTACCTTAAAGTCTAATTCAGGAGTATGCCTCATCTTCCACCCTGTTCCCCCTAGCTGCCACCGATGCCCGAGTGTGGAAAATAGAACGTGAAACCTTTCGAACCATCATGCAAATCTCAGGCTCCAGGGAACGCGAGGAGAACCTGCAATTCCTTCGATCGGTTCCGTTTCTACAAGAGCTCGACAAGAGCTTGCTCAACAAAGTTGCTGATCTCCTGCAAAGGGTAATAGCCAGACACCTTTGCCATTAATTTATTAACAAAAATTGTTCGATAGAAATTCTATAAGACTGGCAGCTGCATTATACGCGAGGGCGAGATAGGAAACGAGTTCTATATCATTCGTTGCGGAACAGTAACCATCAAGAGGAGGGACGAGTCCAGCCAGGAACAAGTTGTGGCAATGCGAAAGCGAGGCGATTACTTTGGCGAACAGGCGCTCCTCAATGCGGACGTGCGGCAGGCCAGTGTCTATGCAGACGCACCAGGCACAGAGGTGCTCAAGCTGGACAGAGAGTGAGACACAGAGAGAGACACAGAAAGGGGCTCCAAATGAAATTTCCTTTACTTTAAACAGAGCTTTTATTAGCTATTTGGGCACCATTAAGCAACTGCGCGAGAGGCCGAATCAACGCGTCGAAACCCATGGTCGATTCAGTAACAAAAGTGTCGAATTCGATAACGAACATGCCCAAATTGCCATCTCTGAGCTGAAGAAAGTTGCCACACTGGGCGCTGGTGCCTTTGGACGCGTGGACCTGGTCGCCCATGGCCAGAAAACCTTTGCGCTGAAAATAATCAAGAAAATCGAGGTGGTCAAGCAGGATCAAATAGAGCACGTCTACAATGAGAAGAATGTGATGATCAAGTGCAGGAACTCTCCCTTCATAGTGCAGTGAGTGTTCGAGTATCTAATCAAGTCTTCTCTTTGCCAACATCTTTTTCTTTTTGTAGACTCTATCGCACATACCGGAATGACAAATATGTTTACTTTCTAATGGAAGCGTGCATGGGCGGTGATGTGTGGACAGTGATGTCGAAGCGGCAGTATTTTGATGAAAAGACCGCCAAGTTCATAGCCGGCTGTGTGGTCGAGGCTTTTGATTTCCTGCACTCGCATCATTTTATTTACAGGGACTTGAAGCCAGAGAACCTCATGCTGGGCACAGATGGTTACTGCAAATTGGTAATTGCAACCTTATCTATATTTGGGAATCAAAACTCATTAAATTACAAACAAATATTCCCCAGGTTGACTTTGGTTTTGCCAAATATGTTCGTCCAAATGAGAAGACAAACACCTTTGCCGGCACGCCTGAGTATGTGGCACCCGAGATTATTTTGGATCGTGGCCACGATCGATCCGTCGACTACTGGGCACTGGGCATTCTAATATACGAGCTGCTAGTGGGCAAAACGCCCTTTAGGGGCGTGAATCAAATAAAGATTTATCAGCAAATCCTCAGCGGCATCGATGTCATACACATGCCCACTCGAATCCCAAAATCCGCACAGCATTTGGTGCGTCATTTGTGCAAACAATTGCCGGCTGAACGTTTGGGCTATCAGCGCAAGGGAATTTCCGACATCAAGCGACACAGTTGGTTCGAAAGTTTGGACTGGCAGCGGCTGAAAAATAAACAACTGCCATCCCCGATAAAGCGACCCTTGAAAAGCTGGACAGACCTGCAATATTTTGGACCGTCTGGCGTGGAAAACGATTATGAACCACCGGAAGAATTAAGCGGTTGGGACATCGACTTTTAGTGCTTAGAAATAAAATATTTGTAAGTAGAATTATGGTAAATTTATGTTAAGTCAACTAATGTAAGTTGCATTTATATTTATACAAGTTTAAGTTACTGTTAGAACTGGCAACGTAAGTTACTTAAATATTACAAATATATTTGTAGCTACTTAAGCATTAGCCTAAACTTGCATTAATTTTGTAAAAACTTGGTTACGTTTTTTGCTGTAGCAGTGTAGCAGTTCATTCGTCACCTTATTTTTATTCGCGGAATCAATTAGATCAGCAAACTTTGTTCCCTTTGCTATCATCAGAACACAAACAAAGAAACTTTTAATTACGATTTGACGTCACTCAGTGCTGGTCGAACGGCGTCTAACAATAAAAGAAAATGTACATAGCTGTTCTCCATCGAAAGTCGCTACCAAAATGTGGCACATCCTTCTGCACATCAGTAGCTTCATTTCTTTAGCGATTTATATAATTTTTGGTCTTCAATAAAACAGATTTACGGCAGAGTAAAATGCCGAAACGTGCACGTCGAATACAGTTTATTAATCAATAATTTAACAGAAATGCTGAGGCTGCCAACTGGTCAACCAAGTGGGAGAAGGTGGAACCTTTTCTCTCCAGACATTCGCACTCATTTAACAATTTTACGCTTCGTTTAAGAAACGTAAGAGGGACCTTCTGAAGGGTTCGTTCTACGTTCTACCTCGCTCTTTGTTCACAGGAGCTGTGTGTTTTTTGTGGGTCCAACCATTCTGGGGAAATAAAAAAGCATTTTGCATGGCTTCCTTAGTTAACCTTTTCCTACAGTCCTACTCTCCCCACTTTTGGCTCGTCTCTTCGTTGTCAGATAAGTGCGCACAGTTTCCCATTTGAAATGATGACATTTCGTCTAACTTTGTCGACGCGGTGCTCAGTCGCATAGAAATGTTATTGCTGTCTAAGAAGTGGCATGGCACAGAAGCAAAATGAAACATTTTTCACATCCAAGAGGAGCGGCGGAAATTGCTAAAACGTTCTCGGGGCTCCCTTCATTCCGTTCGGCTTCTGGGTGCCACAAAATTAATATTGTGGCAACATTTTCTCACCATTATTTCTATTGATTTCCCCTACATACTCGCACATACTTGTTTCATTTTTCCTTGCAAAATATTATTATCAATTATCATTTATTATTGCGGGTCAGCTGTGACCCGTTTCGCTTGGTCGAACATGTTTTATTTTCCACTGCAAACATTTCCGTGGAGCTGTTTTCATTATGTTTGCAACATAAGTAGCGAAGGCTTACAACTATTTTGTATATTGAAGTCCATGAATGAAACATAGCATTTTTTGTAATACAAAATCTCAGTCAGGCAGAAAAAAACAAACTCAAATACTTAATATATGCATGGCCAAAGCTGCTGAACAATTTTCCATTGCCTTTACATGCGTATCCGCACTTGTGGAAAGGCCTTTAGGGTCTCGACCGTCCCGTCCCGTCCCGTCCCGTCCCGTCCCGTCCCATCCCGTTCGATACAAATGCAAATTATATTCCGGGCTTGTAGGCAAACTCTAAACTAAAATTACACCCTAATCAATGGGACTATTGTTTACTTTCTCCTTACAGAACCTTACGGCACGAAAAGGCCAAAACATTGCCCCATATCCAGGGGCAACCGAGAAATTACATATCGTTCTGGGGCTGGGCTGGCGCTTCCAAGAAGAGGTCCAGGTCCAAAACTCTATATATAGTTCCATAAAGAATAGTTCAAGGAGTGCGGCTGCAGCAGGACTCAACACTGAATCAGTATCTGCAAAACAAATCACTGCTGCCCTTGCCCGTGTGCAGCAGCAAACATTTCCCAAATGCGACTCACAGCACCTCGGATCACCCTGGGTACAGTTTAAATTGGAGAGAGTTCAATCACGATTTGCACAAGGTCTGAGCCAGTCTCCACGGGAACAATCCCCCTCAAATAAGCAATCATACGAATGGCCACAAGAAGCCCTAGGAACAGGCTTCCACATCAGTAACAAGAACAGCAATTATAAACAAGAAGGGGGGTGGCATGTCCGGTGTACCACTCCCACTTGGCAGGACAATATAATAAGCTTCGGTCGAAAAAATCTGTTGACAATATTCACAATTTTGTTTGTGGCTTGGTCCTAAAACTAGAACTTGACTAAAAGTTTATTTTTTATGCTGGGCAAAAAGTTAAATTTGCATATTTTTTGTCCGGCTTGTCCCTTTTGCTGATGTTTTTTTCTGTTAGCCAATTTGTGGCCGATGGTTAGGGGCTTGCCGCTTGCCGCATAAACACTTCTGCGTTGAATACTATGAATAATCAATGAGCTCCGTCTGCCAAGTAGCCAAGTGGCCTGCATGCATGCACACTTTTGGGAGCAGCTCTTAGGGAAAATAGGTCTATGCCATAGACCACGTAAGCCTGGGCTCTTGTGTAATATTTATTAGGGACTAAGGAGTCTTTCTCAAAAGAAAAACTGTCACTGGCAGCCATCAAAATGCAGACAAATGGTAAGCACAAGTGTATACATATGTACATATTTATGTACATTGTGTTTACATTTATTCAACCAAGTCGCATAACCACATGCTGCTCTTGTTGGAATCAAATTATGTAATTTTCATGAGCCACACAAGTATGGGGATGCAAATATTTGCTAGGCTCAAACATTTAATGAGCTCCATCGACAACGCTAACCTTTTTGCCACTCGACCAATTCAAAGAAAGCAACAACAATGAGGTGGAGAGGCGAAAAGGTCGTTAGATTGTTAACAAGTTCATAAAAAGACTCGGGAATACATGCATAGGCGAACATAGGCGGTGCAAGGTGTACCTACTTACAAGGTGACGTCTGCACCACAGGGAGTCTCTTTCTAGCGCTTGTCTCTCTCAGCGTGGTGAATAAGTTATTGGTAGTCGCGCAGCGGAGAACGTCACCTTGTTGGTAATTGCACCATGGGCCAGAGCATGGTGTATGCCTAAATACCACACGACGCGTCTCGCTGCGTATTTACAGAGCACTTTTTCCGTTTTTCGAGTAGCAACAGCAACAACAAAAATGCAAACAAGCAAGTAGCAGAGAGCAGAGAGCAGAGGACAGAGAAGAAGCGTGGAGAGTGAAGAGTGAAGAGTGAAGAGTGCAGAGCAGAGGGAATTTCAGGAAGTTCAGAGCGTCTATGAATACCGTTATAAGCATGAGTGTATGCACAACAACTGAAAGGGGCACGAAGAGCTCCTGCGGTTGTTTGCATTAAGCAATTGATGTTTATTGTTGCTTCTGGCGGTGCGAGTCAGCTCACAGCCGTAGTTGGCATGAATGACTTAGTTTTTGCTCTGTGCTGGAAGTACTTTAACTCATATTGCGACATCTGCATGTGTAGTTTAATATTTTCATATTCCTTTGTAATATTTGTATGTGTCTGCTTTAATTGCTTGAAGTCACATAATTCACTCATATGAATCCAAACAAGGAGACAACCAAACAACCAAATAAATTGAAATTATGCTGGTGGAAAACCATAAATTGACTTTGGATCAACAAAAAAAAAACAAAAAAAGGAAACAAAAGTTTCTTGCGAGGAGGATAAGTTTGTAAGTTTTACGGTTTGGCCGCTTTGATCTACCGCATTAATATTTTATTTGGGTGTGTATGCTCTGCGCTCTGCGCAGACATCTGACGTGACTGCGCGCTGGTACGGGCATATCTTTGCAAATTGTCCTGTCAACAAAAAGAAAGCCAAGGAACCGAAAATGAAACAAAGTTTATCACTTTCCAGCCCGGGACCCGACCCGCAGATGTCAAGTAAACTCAGCTGCATTGAAGCGTGCAAAAGTGGTGGCTTTTTACGTCCTCTTTTCGTACATTTAATAATTTCAGTTCTCCATTCAGCTGTATAAATCATTTTGAACATTTTCCGCATTGATGATTTAATTGGGTATTCGCAAGATTGGTATTTGAACTATCCCGACTTATCGTCTCTATTGGTCTTGTTTACAAATGAAACGAATGAAAATTTCTATGGGCCAAATCCCCCTGCTTGCGGTTTCAATTGTATTCATTTATTAGCATGCCATAAAGAATTTGTATGTCGAGTGTTTTATTCCTTCATTATTTTGTCGTTTTGTTCCCTGACATTTTGTAACATTTGAACTACTCACTGAACTGTGTTTCATTTAGATCCGTAATTATCTAATTGCGTTTCTGCCATAACGCATTTTAGGAGATGTGTCATTGCTCAAGCGAAAATTATCGACCTCTTTCCGGGTATTTTCGTAACAAATAAGACAAAAAAAACAACAACAACATCGCCTGCGCAACGTAAAGCATTGCCTTTTGTCGAAATCATGATTTTTTTACTGCCAAAGTTTTCACAGCCTCAAAATAATTTATTAGCGAAATCAGCCAAATGTAAAACCCCCGAACAAAAGCAGGCACAATCATAACCACATTGCTGGCCCGAAATGCAAAGAGGAAATTTCAATTTTCTTCTCTCTTCTATTCAGGACTAAGCTGCCCGAAATGTAACCGCATACCAGTAAGTGGGAGCATAATTTGTGCTTTTTAATTACACATCGGGGCAATAGCAAGTAAATGTATCCGAAAATTACCTTTAAAATTCTGCTGGAAGGTTTTAGGTTCAATGAAGGCAACGCACAAAATATATTAGTAGGTTTGCTGCTGCTCAATCAAGTGCTGACCCCGCAAAACTCCTTCGACCTTTGAGTAAAGTTTTGTGAAACATTTTGCCTTCGCGCTGCCACTTTTAGCCTTTCGTACAGGGTCGTTGGCCATCTGCCCAGTTGTTTGCTTTTACGGCGGTAATTTGTTGCTACACGTGGTCTCCATTGCTTTTAGCTCTCCTGGCTGTTAACTGGGACGCATCATTAGTCGAGAGCCGCTGATTTCCCGTCTACCTTTTGGCTAGCGATTCATTATTAATTGGGCACCACGAACCGTTTTCCGCCCATTTGCTTTACAAGTTTTTGCATTGAAACTTTCTTTCTTTCATTGGGGCAGAGTTTTTCAATTATTAACACTTGTTTATAATTCAATGTTTAGGCTTTACCTTTGCGGTAGCCATAAATGTTGAATAAATATTTTCAATTGAATTAAATGTACCTTGTACAGGGCGAGGGGAAGTGAGTGAAGGGTTTAACGAATGCTGTTATTTAATACAGAATTAAAACTGTATAAAAAATACACATAATTAATTCATACAATTAATTATAGCGCCTTGCCATGAAGCGGCATTTAAGGTTCTTTTTAAACTGATTTTTATTTCTGTGCAGCGGCTCAAGGCGCATTGTGTTGCTCTCTTCCTGCAAAACATACATTATATATGGATTCTAAACTGATGACAGCACGGTCCATAAGCGAAATCATCCAAGCCATTTATCAAAAATAATAGCTCAGCAGATAACCGCAAAAACTGCTACAAAAAACACACAGACCATCTATGGCAAATGCAAATACCAAAAAAAATGGTAAACTATCTTGGGCCATGGGCGAAAAGGAAGTTGTTTTCTTT